TCACCCGTGTGTCACCCATGTGTCACCCATGTGTCACCCGTGTGTCACCCATGTGTCACCCATGTGTCACCCGTGTGTCACCCATGTGTCACCCATGTGTCACCCGTGTGTCACCCATGTTTCATCTCGCGCGGGGACGGTCGTGGGGGTCGGTGCAAAGCGAGTGTAGCCGTTGCTTAGGTTCTTATCGTTATGTTTAAATTTGCCCCTGTGACATCATCATTCTGCTATCACAACCATGATTCAAGATTGCTATGTTTCAACTATGCGTCCCGTTGTAAGATTCAGAATTGGTTGTAACTTTAGTCTTAATATTCATCTTTTGTATCGTAGACCGTTGTCAGAAACAGAATTGGTCGTAACTTTAGTCTTAATATTCATCTTTTGTATCGTAGACCGTTGTCAGAAACAAAATTAATCTTAACATGAACTTTTTCTCGTAGCTGGTCAGAAATGAAATTAGCCTTAATGTCAGTCTGTAACTTTGCGTCGCAGACTATCGACAGAGATGTGGTGAAGTTACTGTTATGGTAAAGATTAGGGGTGATACTCCATTAGGAGTGTTCCCAACTTTAATGTCATTAATGGTCATAATAACATATATATATAACTATGCTATAATATATTATACTACTACTACTATATGAGTAATGTTCATCGGTCATATATTAGTTTGTGGTTTACATGTCATTTAGGTTAGGCGGGTTTTAGCGGTTAGGGTTAGGGATTTATCAATCATTAATGGACCATTAATCATTTCAATGCATATAAATGATATGCAAGAGTTGGGAACAGCTCCTAAAGGAGCGGTATAGCACAAAGATCTAAGAATGTCTGAGCGCGTCAGGACGCGGGGTTCGGGTGTGTCAGACAGATGTCCAAGACCGCGTGGTTCGCGTTGCTTGATGAGATGAGATAATAGACATATATACGCGGTTTATTGGGCAAAAGGCTAGTGTTAAGCATACGTTATCCGGATGGTAAAATAAATTTGTGGGCAAGCAAGATCGATGTGCATTCGCCAGGCGGCTGTGGCGCCAGCTTAAAATGAAATTGATAATTATTTAGCAATACTTGAGTATGTCTCGGATGGTAAGATCATC